ATGCAAATACATACGGTCATTTGTAGGAAGCCCGCTGTAGATTCAACACATGTTCGTGAACAAATATGAAAGATTTACAATACATTACAGGCATGTATAAGCAATATGCAACAAATTCCTACAATAGTCCCTACAAAGTCAATGCACTGTACTGGTAAGCAGCAACAGACAATTGCAAGATGTACGAGTATTACCCATATGTAGAAATCAAAGACCGGTTCCTACAAACAAAACGCAGTCACAAAGCCTCACCTGAGATTGGTGAAAGGTGGATATGATGTAGAAATAATTGGTCTTCTACAAACACTTTCAGGAGATCGTAGTGGATACAGCGATTCCCTGCAAATAAATATGTGGATACCAACAGTTTGTATATCATAGGCACAACGAACCACTGTGGACACAAGTACAAGTATCACCTACGACAACGGTGATTAAGATCTTGATTACGTCGGGTATGAAGACAGCTTGATGTACAAAAAGGACACCCCCTGGCAGAAGGGAAAGGATGCTTGAACAAATTTGAACCAAACTTCCTGGTGTTCCAAAATTTCTTCTTGACCCTGCACTTAAGAAGAAAATAGTGCTTGTATCTACAAATATCATAAACAACAAGTCCACTACACTGATGATCTCAAAAAGAGTTCTTCGCAAAGCAGCGGACTTCAAAGTCCAGAAAAAGCACTTCCCCGGTGAATGAGAAAGGGGGAGTCAACATCAAGACCATACTGCCACCGGATCTGCAACACTTATACAAGAAGACATAAGGCATCTACGATTTACAACGCACCGCCACCGGATCCGCAACACTCGTACTAGCAGACAGTAGGCGTGTATAAGCTCTCAAATGAAATGTTGTGTATTCAAATGACAACTACCTGCACAACTAGGATACTTCAAAATACCCCTGCACGTGCACCATAATTTATATACACATAAGTACACAAATGGGTATGTCAAATCAATAAAATTCCAAAACACATGAGTAAATCCTCTAAGGTCTTGACCATTTGTTTGAGGGTGAAAGACTGTACTAAAAGTAAGTCTGGTACCCATTACCTCCTGAACCTTCCTCCACAGTCTAGAGGTGAATCTCCAATCTCTATCTGATACTATCGATCTTGGTACACCATGAAGTCTAAAAATCTCATTAACAAACACACTTGCCAATATCTCAACAACATCAAATTGTTTGATAGGTAAAAAGTGTGTCGATTTGGTCAACCAATCTATTATCACCTATATAGCATCATGACCATTTCTGGACCTGGGTAAACCAACTACAAAATCCATGGCTATGTCTTCCCACTTCTATTCCGATATAGGTAAAGGCTTCAATAAACCTCCTGGCTTTTGATGTTATATTTTAACCATTTGACAAACTATACACTTAGCCACCACTTCTGTTACACTTCTCTTCATCCCTGGCCACCAAAAGTATTCTTTCAAGTCTTGATACATCTTGTTACTACCTTGGTGAATGGTATAACTTGAATAATGAGCTTCTTAAAGAATGTCCTTTCTTAAGTCTCCAACATCTGGGATACAAATTTTGCCTCTATACCGTAGTAGCTCATTCTCATCAAGCTCAAACTCCTCCATGTGACCTACCTTCATCATATTTAGGACTTTCTCAAATTCTGCATCTTGTGAGAAAGCTTCTCTTATCCTATCCTTCAATGTTGACTGAATGATCATCTGATTCAAAGCTACAAACTCTACATCATTGGGCTGGACTTTTCAAATATCTAACTTCTCCAAATCTCTCATCAACTCATGATGTTGTGTAATCATCCAATTGGCACTACTAGAAGTCTTCTTGCTTAAGGCATCTGCAACCATATTTGCTTTACCTGGATGATATTGGATATCCAAATCATAGGCCTTTGATAAGCTCTAACCATCTCCTCTGTCTCAAATTTAACTCTTTCTGTGTGAAGATGTATTTTAAACTTTGGTGGTCAGTAAAAACTTCACACTTAATCCCATACAAATAATGTCTCCATATCTTCAGGGAAAAAAACACTGCAGCTAACTCTAGATCATGGGTTGAATAGTTCCTTTCATGATCTTTCTGTTGCCTAGAAGCAAGGCAATGATTCTTCCATTCTGCATCAGTACCAACCCAACCCTTTGTGAGAGGCTTCACTATAAAGCTGAAATTCATCTGTCCCCGAAGGAATAGTAAGCACTGGAGTAGTCATCAAGCATTGTTTCAGCCTTTGAAAAGCCTCTTTATACTGAACTGACCATTCAAACTTCACTGCCTTTTGGGTCAATCTAAATAATGGCATCGCTATTCGTGAAAACCAGTCAACAAACCATCTGTTGTACAAAAAGTTTACACTCTTTAGCCAAAATGCACACTTGAAGAACTTAGCATACAGTTTATTTCCTTTCAATGCATGTAACACCATCCTTAAGTGATTTGCATGTATCTCTTCATTTGGGGAATATACTAGTATATCGTCTATGAATATTATCATGAATAGATCCATAAATGACTTAAAGATCCTATTCATTTGATCAATAAACAAGTAGAGGCATTTGTAAGTCCGAAAGGCATCACCACAAACTCATAATGCCCGTATCTAGTATTGAATGTTGTTTTTGCTATGTCCTCTTCTCTAATCTTAAGCTGATAGTATCCTGATCTCAAGTCTATCTTGGAAAATACAAAGGCACCCTCCAACTGATCAAATAAATCATCAATTCTCGGAAGAGGATATTTATTCTTTATAGTCAGCTTGTTCAATTCTCTGTAGTCTATACAAAGTCTTAAACTTTCATCCTTCTTCTTCACAAAAAACACAAGAGCCCCCATGGAGAAGTGTTAGGTCTGATGAATCCTTTATTAAGAAATTCTTGTAATTGATCTTTCAATTCCTTCAACTCTTTTATTGCCATCCGATAAGGGGCTTTAGCAACAGGATCCGGTCCACTAACCAGCTCAATAGTAAAATTAATCTCCCTGCTTGGAGCCAAGCCAGGTAAATCATCTGCAAACACTTCTAGATACTCTTGCACAACAGGTATCTCCTCTAACCCCTTCTCTTCTTTCTTCTCCTCCTTAACATAGGCTAAAAAGCCTTCATACCCTTTCTTCAATAATTTGTATGCCACCAAGGAAGAGACTAACATGGAAGTTATGCTCCTTTCCACTATGAATTTAAATTCTTTCTCCCCTGGCATACAAAATTTAAGTTCTTTCTTATTACAATCTATTATCACATAGTGGTAAGATAATCAATTCATACCTAGAATCATATCAAATTTCAATAATGGCAATAATATAAGATCTGCTTCTAAGTTTTTATCACCTACAATCAATTCCACATGACACCTCTTGTTGGTTTCGAACTGACTCTCATTAGGCATTAAAACTAATAAGGGCTTGAGCATAATTGAAGGAGACAAGTCAACGGATTTAACAAACTCCTCCGAAATGAAAGAATGTGATGCTCCCATATCAAACAACATCTTAACAGGCTTGTTACATACAAAGATTGTTCCTAAATACCATGCATGTAACATAACATAAAGCTTATCTTACTCACATATCATAAAACAAATCATTGACATTAAATAAAATCCATACCTGTGATAATATCTGGAGAGTCTTTGGCTTCTTATTGAGATAGACCATAAACTCTTGGCTGAACAGGTTGACGAGCTTAGCCTTAAGATGGAGTTGATGCAATAGACTCCACCATCCTTCCCTTCCAACTGTCCTCTGAGGAGCACTACTTGTTCTGGCCTTTGGGGTAGACTTCTGTCCCAAGATAGGGCACGATTTTTCCATGTGCCCTGGTTGATGGCACCAAAAACAGGTATTGGTGCCAGAAAGGCACTCTCCCTTATGAGCCCTCCCACACTTATTGCATATAACAGAAAGAGTGCTGCTCTCTGAAGTGTTGGGCTTGGGCTTCTTCCAATTGCGCCTTCTAGACTGAAAAGATTGGGTAGACTTTGATCTATATTCATTCTTTCTCTTTTGAAAATCTCTTCTTCTATGAGTACTCTGCAAGTCACTCTCAATTCTTCTTGCCCTTTCAACCAATGTAGCAAAATCCTCAATGCCAAAAGGGATTAATGGTTGTCTAATGATATTTCTTAAGCCACTTAGAAAACGATGACATTTTTTTTCAGCATTTGGAATTAAATGAGAAGCATACCTAGAGAGCATTGTGAACTCAACCTCATACTGTGTAATTGTTATATCACCCTGTACCAATCTATTGAAACTGTCTTGCATTTGTCTTCTAGCAAACATTGATACATACCAATCTCTAAATACCTTGACAAACTCCTCGCAGGTCACTTGGCTGCTAGGTCTTCCTCCAAAAGTCTCTTGTAATTGACTTCTCCACCATCTCTCTCTTCCCCATTGAAGGCATAGGCAGCTAAGGTAACCCTTATATCTTGAGGGCATAGCATTCCTTCCAATATCTTCTCTATTCTCATTAACCAGTCCTCCGCCTCTGTGGATCCACCTCCTATGAATGATGGAGACTTCATGTCTTGGAATAACTTTAAATTTTTGTCCATTACAGTGCTTCCACTGCCTCCAGTCTGAATCTGATTATTCTTTATCATTTGGGTCATAACCGCCATCATTTGTGTGAATGAATCCATAATAGCATTAATGTTACTACTTTGAGGCTCCGCTACTGCTGGCAGATCTCTTCTAACCTCTCCAGTATTGCCATCAGTAGCATCAGTTTCAGGTTCCACAACCATGAGACATAATGCAACGAAATAATTTAAGCAATCTATAGCACATACATCTTATACCTACTCTATCCTATACGATCATCCTATTGGCCCTTTCATATTAATCAATATTCTTAAATCCTTTGCTCTGATACAACTCTTTGTCACGACCCAACCCGATTAGCTCGCAAGTGCAAGGCGGGAACGAAGATCGGATAGAAGGAATTAAAAACTTTCACATTTCAATATACAAAACATCTTCAAATTATAAGAAAGAGCCACTAAAATAAAACCAAGAGGAGACTTTTCTTTCTTTCTATTCATTCAACAACACATCTTCATAGTAAATCAAAACATGAAGATTTCCAAAATATGAAAGATGTCCAAAAACATTTCCTTACATGTCATCTCTAATCCTTCTATCTCAAAACATTAAAAACAAGAAGACAAAACCTGCCGCCCGTCGTCTCTCTACGACGGTACGTGAGGGGAGGTATATCCGTCATTATCCTTTACCAGGTCCTCCTGAAAATTGTCCCACAACATGGGTGAGTCACAACTCAGTAGATGTAAATGGCATTCAAATAAATTTAAGTACAATAGAAGAAACTATAACATGATTTTATGTCTTAATAAATAAATAATCAATGTGTTATAACATTTGTCTAAGGTGAAACATGCCTTTACATCAACCTTTAAGTTCTCATTATTTGCATAATCTTTCAAATTTTTCTCTTTAAACATTCATGTCTCAAATAAAAGCCTCATATGCATCTAACATAAAGATGCAATGTTCATAATATCTTAATATATATAACACCTGTCTCGGAAGTATCATTTGTACTGATCAGATACATAAAAATTAGTCATTCCTTTATCATTTGGTTCAAAAGAACATCCTTTACCATTTGGCCCAAAAGAGCCCCATTACCATTGCTCAAAAGAGCTCATTTATCATTAATACTTCCGCGTCAACATGCACATATACATAATTCTTACATATTCATAAAAGAGACTTATGTAAACTATTCAAGTGTATGTTTTCATATGGAAACATATATTTGTTATGCTCAAATATATATTTGAATGTAAAGAGAAGGCATGTGTAGTACATGTAAAGGATGAAGCATGAGATTCAACATTAAGTTCTAGTATTGCATAAAAGAAGGATCTTGCATTTACATCAAGTGATCATGAGCTTTTATAAAGAAATATGCTAGTTATAATGATATCATAAATAATATAAAAAGGAATATCATTTCTATGTATTTACATGTAAAGAGCTTTCTAAATTTAAAAAATTCCACTTTACCTACCTCACCACAATGTGATCCGTCAAAAGTCCTTACGACCCTTTCCTCTTACGCAATCAAAATCTACAAGAGACAACAAACATAAGGTATAAACATAAATTTTCTCCCTCACAAACCTTTAAAAAGCCCTATGTTATAAACATATAACTATTTCATACACCAAACTTTGATTTTCTATAAAACCCCTCTCTCAAATCATGTTAATTTTATTTTTATTTTCACTCAACTAGGATTCCATCATAACTCTAGCTTTTAGAAAGCCTCAATAAATTCTTTGCTCACCTCAAACATACAACACTCCTCCTTTCCTTTAACTTAAGTTAACATACGACAATTCATTGGATTCATCCAATTTAAAATTTAGAAAACAATAATTTATGCTAAAGTTAAAATCCTTGCTTTTAGACCTCCCTAAACTTAAAAGGAATCAAAACATATAAAGAATTTTTCATGTTTTTTTTGAAAAACTCTAACTATGGGAGCATGAAAAATGTCTCCTAAAAAGAATCTAGCTTCACAAAAAAACTTCCTAACATCATTTAGAAACTTTCCTACAAAGACATTTTGAAAGAAAATCAAAATCGGATAAAACCCTAAATTTTAAAATCCACATTTTTCATGAAATCAGCTCATATTTGGGTTTAAAAACATCCCCCTACCCTTCCCTATCTTTATCTTAAAGAAAACTTGCATTTTCCCAAAACCCTAATTTTCTTTCCTTAGTGAAAACTCCCTGAAAAGAAGAGGAAACTCTTGTAAACAACTTACCTTAGCCTTCCTCACAAGTTTCCTTCAATCTCCCTCGCAAAACACCGCCGGAAACCTCCTCTAAGACCGCCAGATTCTCCTCCTACCCGATGCCCCTCCTCCCTCTTTCTCTGCTCGGTTTGGTCCGCAAGGATGAAATGGGGACCGAAACATTTCGATCCCCTAATAAGAGTGGGATCCTCTCATTAATTACCTAATGACATCAAAGCCCATACTTAAATATCATCCCTATTCAAAAGTCATCATGGGCAAAATCGTCATAAAGAGATTTTCAAAAAGTTTGACTCCCAAAATACTTAAAATCCAATATGGGTTCTATACATCAATTCGCTCAGAATTTTGTGCACTATTTTATAAAATTTATTGCATCAAATTCCGACGACTTTGAAAAATTCACTTAAAACTCATCGCGACGCATCGAAAAATGTGCGAGGTCTAAAATGACATTTTGCGGGTTTTACATTATATATGTTCTGAATAATATCCAACTGATAAAAAAAGACTACTTAGTGAAAACAAGTAATATCCCAAGAACTAGCGACAGTAGATTCGACCAATTCTAACGTTTTGCCAAGTATCAAGGAAGAGAATGACCATTCCATCGTTTGGTGTCGAAGAAAATGAAGATCGGTTTCGTCGCTTGGTGTCAAAGAAGAGGATGGGTTGCATTCCTTTAAAAATCAAAGGAAGGAGAGACAGGGAGAGACAAAGAGAAAGAGAGGGGGGGACGAAGCAACATAAGTGGTTCACTTGGAGAGAGTTTTGTTTCATGCCATCACACACAACCGAGTTGTGGTGTGCAAACAAACATACGTGGAAGTTGCATGCAAAATAACTAAGCAAAATAACTAAGCGGGAAGCATGGGCGTAGCCTAGGTCTCAATGGTTTAATTGCAAATGGTAAGGTTCTTTTATAAATTTTATTTAAATTATATAAATATGGAAATAATAAGTTCAAGAATAAAGATTTATTTTTTGAAATTAAAGATAGAAATTTTATTTGAGAAAATTATTATGAGAGTTAGGAATATTTAAGAGCACAATCAAAGAGATATATCACTAAAATAGATACGTAAATATATAATTTACGATAATAAAGAATTAAGGATATCTTATATGTATGATTGTAAGTGTTCAACTATTGGAGCTACAGAGAAGACAAAGGGACAAAAGTTAACATTTGAATTTGAGGTGAATACTCATGTCTTTAAATTATAACAATGATGTTGTTTTCTTTTAAACTATATGCATGGGAGGATATTTAAACATGCTTAATTAGCTGCTATTGCAATTTAAATCATAAATTATATTTCATATTTTCAACTATTGGTCATCTTGAAATAAATGATAGCTAGTATGTTATATTTCAAATTATTATATAAAATTATTGAATGATATATGAATAAAATGATTAGATAGAAATGATTGCATATGCATGATTAAATTATGAATTATAACCCTTATAGTATTAAATGGGGAGGGAATGTACCTACAAACATCAATGGAAAAGGAAACAAAAATAGAAGTATCGTAACTAGTACTATTTAAATGGTGTCTCATCTAACGGTTGTATTAATTACAAAAAATAAGAAGACATAAGTGTTCAATATATATAACATCTGATTAATCATCATTTCCAAAAAAAAAAAATTAAATAGAGTTGTTATAAATAAATTTAATTACTTCATTTTTTATAGAAAACATGCATATTGTAAAAAATATCATTGTATTATTATGATAAAACATGATTGCTCACTAGGTTGTGTTATAACTCACCCCTCTCATGGAACAAATGTACAAAGGTATCATCCGTAGAAATTTAAATGAGTGGAAGAGAACCAAATGTATATCGTAGATGCGACGCTCTGAGAGAGGTATTTATTTGAAACAAATATAGTATTGTAAATATAATTAGAGTTTAGTAACACTTTTAATATATAGAGCCAAGCACCTTCATAGGATTGCACGGTTCTAGGATCGAACCTGATAGCCAACAAAGGAAATAAAATTGGAGCAGAGAGAGAGTATGAGAGGATAACAGATCCAAAGAGAAAGAAAATGACTTGAATTGTATTATAGCAAGGGTGGGGAGATCTATTTATTGCTATAGTGCTATACCCCAAGGTATTTGGGCAAAATAAAATTTACACAAACAATCCTTCAATACAAAACAAGTTAAAATAGCTTTATAAGTGAGCTGATAAAAAGAATTAAAGAAAAATAGAACAATCTCCATCCTGATTCTTTATTTCATCAATATCCAAGAAACCAACATTAAAATTCCTCCCTCATCATCTTCAACAAGTCTACACGATGCTGAATTTTTCAATAAACTAAAGCCTTAGCCAACTTATTTAATGCATTATAGTCCTTTGAAATCGTTACAATCTCCATAATCCCTACAGTAAATGCCTCCTTGATGACAAGGAACCTCACATTTATATGTTTAGTTCTTTCAAGATACATAGGATTATTGGAGAGAAATACTACACTTCGATTATCACAAAACACTAGCCCAGGAGAAATCAGTTGCTGAAATAATTCCAAAATTAACTCTTTCAACCAAACAGCATTTTTATGGCTTCAGATGCAGCAATGTGTTCACCTTCTGTTGCAAACAAAGCTAGAACCGGTAGCAAATTTGTCGTCTACCTAACTGTGTTTCCAAACATCTTAAGGACATAACATTTAAGTGATCTTCAAGTACCACAAAATCCTTCAAAATTTGAATTTACAAACCCAATGATAACGTCATTCAAAGAATCCCATTTTTCATACTTTAATCACAAGGATGTGATTCCATTTAAGTATCTTAGTAACTATTTTATAGCCATGTACCTGCTTATAATTCTGAGCGAGCAAGCCAAATCAAGCTTACAACAAACCATAGCACACATCACACTAAACACAACGTTTTGACAGAGAATATGCTTCATATATGATCTTTCAACATCATCACCTGGTTATTAATCCTTGCTCAATTTAAAATCCTAAGCTAAAGGTCTGGAAAAAGGCTTAGAAGCTGACATCCAACGCCTGTTCACAATATTTTTTATGTATAACCTTGAGACAAGAACAATTCTTACCTCTCTTCTTTTTTTATGATCTTCATTCCAAGATTTATAAATAGGACCAATATCCATCATCTCAAACTCCACCTTGAGCAAAGCCTTCAATCTTGTAATTTCTTGTAAACAAGAACTTGTAAGTTAAATAACATTAATAGAAAGTAAAAGATGGATAGTGTTATTGACCTCCTTAGATTTTAAATATACACAAGAATCATACAGGCAACAAGTCAAACCAACATCAAACATATATAAAGCAACGAATCAAATCTTTTATACCACATTCATGGAGATTATTTCAACCCATATAAAAAATTTTTAATAAAGATACTTAATTTTCAGCTTCCATTTCAATAAATCTTTCAGGCGAATTCATATAGATAGTATCCTCCAATTCTCCATACAAAAATATGATTATGACATCCATTTGCTCAAGGTGCATGTTAAATTGCACAACATGACAAGTAAAACAAGTTACATGCATGCCTCATCATTTGAGAGAAAATTTCAACATAATCTACATCGTTTTCTTCCGTAAAACTCCTTGCTACAAGCCTATCTTTTAATCTTAACTCATCTACATCAAGAATTCAATCCTTTTTGAAAAACTATTTTCAGTTGACAATCTTCTTGTTCAAGTACTATTCTTCTTGACGGAAATTATCTCTTTATTTATGACGTGCTGCCAATTATCTCTCTCAACACTTTCTATGGCTTCTTTATAGGAACTTGATTCATCACCTGATAGGAAATTAGCCATAAATGCATAAGAAAAAACATATGCATGTCCCTACCTTTGTGGTACTTGAACCATACACCTAGGTCTGTCCCTTGATTACCAAATGTTCATCTTTTCATTTCTTCAATGTTTTCTTGACTAAGTCTCATCATTTTCTGCTTCAGTTCATTCTCGATCATTGCCTTAAAAAATTCCATGATACTTTGACTGTTCAACATGAGTTTAAAATTTATAATTTGTATCATTAGTCGTGTTTTGATCCATAATTCTTGGAATTAAATCTGTCATTTTGTTGTTCATTAAACACTCTCAGCTTATCAAACATTCAGGACGACCTAGTTCCAAATACCAAAACTTATATCGTTTAAATTCTCAGTATATCCAATAAATTATATTTCAAAGCCCTTAGTTTCAATTTTCTTGCCTAATATGAGCATAAGCAATACAACCAAACACCTTTAGATTGTCATAGGCTCCTAGTTGCCCACGGTATCTTTCTTGTGAGGTCTTTAACTCAATAGTTGATGAAGGACATCAAGTTATCAAATAAGCAACTATACTGACTACTCAAAATTTCCTGTATTATTAACCATGCACCTTATGCTTTCAAGGTCTTGTCGTAGCATTCAACTAGACCATTTTTCTGAGTCAACCTCACATTGTGATGTCGTTCTACTTCTTGCTCCTCATAATACTTCTAAAGTTGATTTGAGTACAGCTCAAAGCCATTGTCAGTGCTCAGCTTTTTGACCTCCTTTTGTTCTTAAATTTCAACAAGAGGCTTCCATTCATTGAATTTTTCAGACTTCATTTTTTCCTATCAAATATACCAATAATTTATGGACAATTATCACTAAAAAAATAGAAAGTACCTTACTATTTCATGTAACTCATTTCTTGAAAGACCCCTTTAAATACACAATCTAGAATCTCTTTAGATTTATATCATGAAATGATAAACTTCAACCTCTTGGATATCCCTGTTGACCTGTAATTTCTTCCCCACAAACCACCCACGAAACCCACAACTCACCCACGATCCTATATCTCGATGCCGTAACGGCTCTCTCACGACACAAAAAGGACTCTTCACATTCTACTGATATGCGTGCACATAGAGAAAGAAGGATTTCGGAAGGTTACCTCAGAGACAATCTCGTCCGCCTGACCGGCCGACTCCAACCACACAAGCCGGCCGTCCCTGGCCCGACGCTGAAGTCGCTGGTTGACCCGAACCGGCTCCCGTGCGAAACTCCGATCCGTCCCCGCTATGCCCCGATTCCCTTCTCTTTGTTTTACATATATAATATAATATTTATATTATTATGTATTATAATATATAATATATTATATCACAGATATAATATAACATATATAATATAATATAATATATAAAATATAATAATAATAATATATTATTATTGTTGTTGTTGTTATTATTATTATTATTATAGAATATTATAATATAATAAAAAAATAAAAAAGAAAGATGGAGAGAAAAGAGAGCATTTTCAAATACGTACAACAAATTGGGAGCAATTTGAAGGAAATCCCGGGGTTCTCATACGGTCCCCCGAAGCCCTTGGAAATTTTCTCAAAAATTCTGGACTTAAAACAAATTTTTGGGGAGATTGGAAAATGCTCAAATGACCATTCAATTTGGAAATAATTGCAATATTAATTAATTGATAAATTAAATGATGAAAAAGGGATTTTCAAACAGGTGTGAGCAATTTGAAGGAAGTCCCGGAGTTGATCCGGTCCCCCGAAGCCCTCGGCCTCCGAGATTATCTAACCAAGGGAGCGCAGACACTACTTTTCCAATCTCATTGTCGTTGATTCGCTCCGGGCGAGTCGAGCCAAAGGGCAACAAATGCCCTCCTTACCTCCCAGTGCCGGGAAGGGGACGCCGGAAGGCTAACGGATTTTTGAGGGGAATAAAAGTATTTTTAAAATTAATATCACAACAAATTGGAGAAGACTAAAGGAAGTCCCGAGATTGATCCGATCCCCCGAAGCCCTCAGTCGTCAAGTTTATCTGACTGAGGGATTAAAGATTTGAAAACATTTATGGGATCGATTCGCTCTCCCAAACCTCCTCGCCGTTGACATGCTCCAGCTGAGTCAAGCCCAAAGGGCAAATGCCCTCCTTACCTCCCGATGCCGGGAAGGGGACGACGGGAGGCTGTCAAAATTTTTAGTGAAACAATAATGGACTTGGACAAAAAATTTAAAATTGATTTGAACAATAAGTCAAACATAAAATCAATTTTAAATCAAATTCGATCAAACAATATTGGACTTGGACTTAAACTCAAACTCGAACTAGACTTGCACTCAACATGGCTATGAGTCACTTGGAATTGAACCTAAATTAAAATATAAGGAATCAAAATTTAAATTAATAAACATACAATCAAGTTGGAAATACAACTGCTAAGTGATAAATTCAAGTCATTCAAATAACATCTACCAATACAAAAAGGGACCCTCACACCATCAAATTTCTATTTTAAGTGATTTAAAATAAATACAATAATAATAAAAAATAATCACTAGGAAATTAATGAAGAGAGAAGCAATTGAGTACACTGTAAGAAACGGTGGTGGATATGCTCTAGTGTAATAGATCCCTTATAAGTGAAGAGAATCAATGTGCCACAAGCATAACAGTTGGATGCATTTAATGAGTTTGAAGTGAATGAGGTCTATGCATAATCAATTCTATGCAACTCCAAGAAAGTTTGTTAATTTGATTGCAAACAACAATATATGTAGCAAACTTAAAAGTATATGTGAAAGCCCCTATGACTTGGTGTAGAAGACTCCTGATTTATACAAGTCCCCTACAGATAAAAGAACTTGACATGCAACGAATGTCATAAGTTGCAATGCACACGACACATCGTATAAAAGAGACCTGCCATATTCACAAAATATTGCGTACGAACAACAACAACAACAACAACATCAAGCCTTTATCCCACTACGTGGGGTCGGCTACATGAATCCTTTTTCTCCATTGTGTTCTATTAAAAGTCAAATTCTCATTTAAACCTAATAAAGAAAGGTCATTCCTAATATTTTCTAACCAAGTCTTTTTAGGTCGAACAAGATGTTAAATAACTACAAAGACCGTGAAAGCCTACGAGTCATTGAAGGAGGCTAATTATATGTTCAACATGTTGTAGGTGGACAAATGTGAAAGGACTACAACTCATTTGCAAGAAGCAGCAAACAATACTTTTAATGCCATCGGATCTGCAACATGTGTACAAGCGGACAAAAGGTGTTTGTACATCCTTAAATGAAATATAGGGTATTTCTAAATGAAATTGCTAACATAATGGATCATAATTAAAAATTTTAAAATGCCTCTTATGTATCAGATATAATCCCCTAAACTGAAATGTTACACCCTGCATGTGCTCTGACAAAGGCAGTAAATTTCTAAACACAAATGTCTGAGAATGTTGCGCAGGGTCAAATGCTACAACTTGCATGTGTTCTGATCATCACATCTGAATCCCAAATCCAACGATTCGAGAATGCTACGCGGGTCAAATATTCAAGTCTCATCCTCCTCGAAAGGTCTGGAGTCGACACAACTTGAATTACAAAATGCCTCCCAAAATTCTATAAAAATACAAGTGATTTTAAAGTCAGCTCGATGATGACCATGTTGACAGGAAATCGCAACCATAGGGGTCAAATCTCAAATCAAACAAAAGCCTAAATTCTTGAAGTAAAATCTATCACCTAAAAAATTTAAAACTAAAACATATTCACCACCCGCAATTGTTTGTCGGGGGTGATAAATTTGAAAATAACCTCAGCTCATAAAGAGCGAATGCATGTCGGGTGTATCACTAGGATTCATCCTCAAATAATCTCTTGCCAGCAGGGACGTGGCACGTGCCCTCTGATCTAGTGGTTTTGCAGCAAAATGACATCATTATATTACGATCACGACCAATGCCTGTATATTCCCTAAAAGCATCAAACACTTGAGTTATGAATCATAGGATATATTCGATAGGCATAAAGTCCTCTGTCACCTAAGGTGGATTCAGATATATCCCATTAGATAAATACCAACCCAGTCCTACAAGGTATACTTGGACAAAGCAACCCATGGTTGCCAACAAGGTGTCTTCTGTCAGGTTGGGTCGACTACCTCCTCTGACTAAGTAGACTAGGGATCATGACAGACCGGGACGACGGAACCATGGGATCTTGATCAGGATCGTCTTCATTCCCCCCACCACCATTTTTAAATTTATGGTGATAAACTCTAAATTCCAAACTTCAAAATTCAAATCCAAAATTCAAACCCTAAAACTATTGATATTATACGATTGGTGCATAACCTATTTGACCTCTTTAACGACTAACCTTAATCGAAAGTTCTCTCTCATTATCGGGAGGGGTAATTAACTATAGGGGCTTGCGCCTATAGGAAAAAAGAACTCAGATCAAAAAAGTCCCCACAAAATGAGGACGAAACTCTGGGTAATGTCTTATCTAAAACCTAATCTGCCTTCTGAAAATTCAACCGGAACCTAATCTCGTTAAAACTCTCCACCGTCATACATACACTCAAAAGAAAAATAGAACAATGGCGAGGAGAGGTCGGGATCGCACAAATGGAATTTTCGGAGCCCACATTCCCCACCACATCTTATTCACAAAAATCTAAATATTTGGGCTTTTTTCCAATGAATCATATTTGTACAATTTCTTTCAAGTTTATATGTCAAAATCTTTTATGACGACAAATTGGTTTCATCAACAATATTACAGGACATGCTAACACATCCTCCAATCACTACTTTACAATACATACACTCCATTTATATGAATATGTTTCATGTTAATGAAGAAGCCTTTACACACTTTCATGCTTCTAATATCACATGTAAAAATGTATGCATTATGATCTAATTCACCAAGAGAAATTAAATATTGGCACCACACTATAGTCTCTCACTTCGCTCTCTCTCTCTCTCTCTCTCATCTTATCATTAGGAGTTTCTTTCAATTTTTTTTGCCAATTTTTAGGTCGATACACAATACACTACACTTTCATCTTATGTGTGCAATCAACAATAATAACAAGTTTATCCCATTATGTGAGATAGACTACATGTACCCTTTTTCTACATTGTCCTATTAAGAGTTAAATTCTCATTTAGATCTAATAATATATATCATCTTTAATAGCTTTTAACCAAGACTTTTTAGGTCTACCTTAACATAGACCAGATCTAAGTATCTACTCCCCTAAAAGGGATCTTATGTGTACAATCGCCAAGTGGAAATCATAACAAGTGATCTTCATACATTTTTGTGTGCTTATAATAACGATCTTCATCTTCATGTTTGTTTTATCCAACCCTTCCTAAAATTGGATAAATGCAAATTCTATTATTTCCCACCGTGTCCTCAAATGAGTAAACTTGTGACAAATGTATCTATTACCCAACATGTGAATTGTTATGACATCAGTCCAAAGCAAGGATAGGATAAATAGCACATTACTCATTTCTTTCATTACCTTTTTTTATATTTATGACTTATCAAGAATTTAATGTAGTGGTTACTATCATGAACTTAATTGAAAACCTGGTATCTAACTGCAATCCTAAGGGTAAATGTCAATCTAATTTGGCTTGTGGTCATGTCATGGCATATTTTATAAGCCAAATACAATCTCACTTATTCAAAACAATCAAATCACATTATTTTTCCATTTTCGACTACTCATTCCATGTAATATACAATGAGAGCTACAGTGTTAAGGATGTTAATAGTAGTAGTGAAGAAAAATTAGCTGAATGATCATCACATATAGCAGCTCCATAGCCACTACCACCAACGCAATATGAGCATTGTCACCCTCAAGATGACTAGAAAGGATATTTTGCTAGACTTAAGCTCAAACTCAATCATCACATAAATCAAAATAAAGCTAATTAATTAGATCCATCTATGGATCATCTCGTATGATGCCATACAATCTTCTTGATTTATTCTGAATCGAACTAGTCATAATCAAATCTTCTGACTTCATTTTTTTAAATAGCTATCAGGTGATATTTTGGAATTCAACAATGACTAATTGATTAAAAAGAACAAGATTAACAATGTTTTGATTTACATATACCCTTGGAAACCTTTGGGAAAAATAGTGATACAACGCCTATAACTAATCTTCACAAGTCTCCCTCTCTCCCCTTTCTCAACACTTCTTGTTCTGCCACTTGCAGTTTGATTGTTGA